AGTTTCTGTCATTACTCTTGTTGGTAGTGGCAGTCATGCTTTTCCTCTTCATTACTATATTAGAGTAATCCTAATTCACTGGTTAACTCCTCCCTCCTTCATCAGTCAGGCGGGCTGATCCATCCTGTCTCTAGCCTGAGGCTCAGGGTCACAGGGTCAGTGACACACCTGGTATTAGAGTCTTCCTCCTGTCCCTCTGCATCTACAAGGTGGTTTGATAATCTTCGTGGAGGGCTTCTTGTTGTCTCAGTCGTCGTTGACAGGTTGCCAGACCGTGCCATGGAGGATGTGCAGGGCCATAAGGAATTGCACAGGGCAGAGGGGGGGCATTTATAAAACATACTTTTGTTCTTACAAAGCTCTGAAGTGGGCAGTTTCACTGTTTCTGCTTTATGTAGGAATTATTATAACTTAGCTTCTAACTATGTCACAGAATATATAAAACTCAATATATATAAAACAGTGCTTTTATAAGTTCTGCTGTTAGATTGGGAACTGACTGTGCTTTTCAAATTATTTCAAATAATTTGATTCCAAAGAACATGTAAAAATGTACACAGGCGGTTTCCAAGTCTGGCCATAATTAGTAGATTTTAAGGGATTCTTTGACATCTCTTCCATCATTTATTTCTAAAAAGAATTGTGAGAGATCCTTTGTTAACAGTGCAGAGTATTCCCATGAGACTTTGGATAGTACTANCGTTTCAGGAAGGGCAGGTTCTCCTGCTGAACATGCCTTCCGTTTACATGAACTGTTCTGATACCGTTCTCACTGTAAGCACCTGTGTAAGGCAGAGGAGGGTCTGGTGGCCTTTCCATACTGGTCGCCCCTTCAGGGGGATGCCACAATCTGCCATTTAGTCTATGTGCTACCCAGGGGGGTCCTTGTACAGCAGGCGAGGGGCGATGGCCTTTTCCTGTCCTCAACTAACCCTGCAACCATAGGCGGAGGCACTTGAGTATCCGCGGCCGCGTGAGCTCAGCTTTCCCTACTTCCTCCATGAATTCCTTATTGGGGCGCCAGGGGGAATTTTCTTAGCTACTTCTAATAACAATTTGTTAAAGCATCCGGCACATGTGATAGTGACTGGACTTGGGGAAATCGGGATTTCTTCAGAAGTGAGAACATCGTTTACCATTCCCAGGTTACTTATTGATTTCACAACCCAAAATCCCCCTCCAAGGAGGAGAAGAGATATTCCCATTAAGCCCATTACTCCCACCCACATGCCACGTGCTGTGCCCAGAAGATGCCTTCCGTGAAGCTTCCTCTCCACGTCTGGACCTTGTCAGACGACATGGTTGGGAGAGGACACTGCAGCTGCTCTAACTCCCTGGTCCAGCTTTTGTCAGGAGGATGCCATGTGGTCAGCAGGCAGATATATAGTATGCTTCTACATTTTTAGCAAGGCCTAAGTTCAGGCCTTGAAATGCTTGGGTTTTTCTCCTGCCCTATTTTTTTCTAAGCTCAAGAAAACCCATCTTTTCCACCATAGCCTCTGGCCATTTTGGGGCTTTAGCTCCCAAGGATGTAGAGAGAGGAAGGTCTGATCCGCCTTTGAAAAGCACTGTTTCCTGACTCCTAGCAATTATGCAATTTTAATATGCTTCTTAAGAAAAGAGGAAGCCATTTGGGCCCCACCCTGACCGGGTACTTACTTATCTCCTTAGTCTTTTTCTGAAGTGATAATTACTCCACTCACAGATACAGAACTGGCCTGGAGAGATGCCCCCAGGGACAGGACGGCAGGTAGGAGAGCAGAGAAGTCTAGGCTCCTACTTCAGACTCTGAAATGGGCTTTCTTAGCTGACACCCCTCCTCTCTTTAAGTCTAATGTAAGTGACTAAATTGTCCCTGATAAGAGGAACCCTGGCCTAGCATTTGTTGTTTGAATAATCCCATCTCCCCTCATTGACTTGGGTGAGTTACTCCACCTCTCTGTGCCTCTGTTTCCTCACATGTGAAATGGGGTGACCTAGTGTCCACATTATAGGGCCGTTTGTGGGGCACAGAGTAAGTGCTCCAAAGTTGGCATTTGTGGCCTGTATGTTTATTAACACATGGAGATCTCTTGGCTAAAGGATGGAGGGTAGGTGCTATTCGTGTAAAGTGTGGCCTTGGGCTCCAGAGAGGCCAGGTGCTGACATTGACCCCAGCAGCCCTGATGCTGTGTGCCCAGGGAAGACCATTGAACCCTCTGTGCTGGCTCATTTCTTCAAGGGTAGAATGAGAAGTGGGACTAAATGAATGCTATTTAGTGTCCCAGATAATCTGGACATGCACTTGTTCCTTTGGGACACTGATTGTTGCAAACGCCTTTACCTGCTGTCAAAGAGGGTGGCACGCTTTCAGAAGTGTAATGTTTAGCTGTTGGTTGGGAGGCACTGTCACCTGAAGATCCACATGAGGGGTCAGCGACTTTATGGCCATAGTGACAATCAACAGGAAGACAGGGTTCTGCTCTTTAAAAGTGTGTGTGTACAGCATAGCGCGTGATACACCGTGAGCTGTGCCTCTGCCCAGAGGAGCAGAGCATGGTACCTGGATGAGGTCCTGCAGTGGGGAACGTGGATCCCCATAAACCCATCATCTCTGAAAGTCATCTCCTGTTGCAGCCTCTTGTGATCGGAGAACCTCTATGGGCAGCATGCATGCAGAGCCTCTAGCAGGAGCTCTTGATGCTAATAGCTGACCATCCCTGGGAGAGCCTGCTCTGTGCCCAGAGGCCACTCCCAGTGGCCCGAGTGCTAGCATCTCAGGAGGGAAGGGCTAGGTGTGTACACAAACATATTTTTAAATAAGCTTTTTTAGACCAGTTCTAGATTTACAGAAAAATTGTGAGGATGACATAGAGTTCCCATACCTGTCCCCAGTCTCCCTGGTTATTACCATCTTTCTCAGCATGGTATCTTTGTTACAATTAATGACCCAGTATTGATGTATTATTAACTGAAGTCTATACTTTGTTCAGATTTGCTCGGTTTTTCTCCTACTCCAGGATCCCATATTCTATGCAGTTGTCTTGTGCCTCAGGTTCCTGTGGGCTCCTACAGTTTCTGTCATTACTCTTGTTGGTAGTGGCAGTCATGCTTTTCCTCTTCATTACTATATTAGAGTAATCCTAATTCACTGGTTAACTCCTCCCTCCTTCATCAGTCAGGCGGGCTGATCCATCCTGTCTCTAGCCTGAGGCTCAGGGTCACAGGGTCAGTGACACACCTGGTATTAGAGTCTTCCTCCTGTCCCTCTGCATCTACAAGGTGGTTTGATAATCTTCGTGGAGGGCTTCTTGTTGTCTCAGTCGTCGTTGACAGGTTGCCAGACCGTGCCATGGAGGATGTGCAGGGCCATAAGGAATTGCACAGGGCAGAGGGGGGGCATTTATAAAACATACTTTTGTTCTTACAAAGCTCTGAAGTGGGCAGTTTCACTGTTTCTGCTTTATGTAGGAATTATTATAACTTAGCTTCTAACTATGTCACAGAATATATAAAACTCAATATATATAAAACAGTGCTTTTATAAGTTCTGCTGTTAGATTGGGAACTGACTGTGCTTTTCAAATTATTTCAAATAATTTGATTCCAAAGAACATGTAAAAATGTACACAGGCGGTTTCCAAGTCTGGCCATAATTAGTAGATTTTAAGGGATTCTTTGACATCTCTTCCATCATTTATTTCTAAAAAGAATTGTGAGAGATCCTTTGTTAACAGTGCAGAGTATTCCCATGAGACTTTGGATAGTACTAAAAATGAAAAGACCCCCTAAAAATGGTTTTTCAGATCGACAGGGAGGAGGAGGTGACCGGAACCCTGCGTTACAGCACTGCGTGAACAGAGCTGGGTGTTGAGGAGCCCCAGGTGCTGACGAGCCCGGGGCGGTACACACAGGCTGAGTCCCCATCTACCACCTGCCAGCCGTGTCCCTGAGCCCAGTGGCTGCCCACAGCCCTCAGTTTCCTTACCTATAAGAGGGCTGCGGTTGGGGTTGGACAGCTCTGGCAAGAGTGGCACTCATTTCTGATGCACAGTAAGCGTTGGTGACTGGGACACATGAGGATGGGGATGGGAAGGGAAGACCGACATTTAGTTAGTCTTCATCATCCCTGTAGGCTCTGGTGACACCGCCGCCTGCCCAGGAATGACTGTCCCCAGCCCCACACTGCTGCACTGGGTGCACTTGCTCTGTACCTGTGTGTCGTTATCACTGTGGAGACCACCTTACACCTGTCATGCTGTGTACTACATCTATTTAAAATGTTTTAAACTTGCAGAAAAGTAGGAAGTATAGCACAAAGAACTTACTTCCCCTGAACCAGCTACTTGCGTGTGTATTTTGTATTTAAAAGGACATTCTGCTGTACAACCACAATCCCACCATCAAAATCAGGAAATTAATGCTGATTCCTCACGACCTTCCAACCCTCAGAGCCCACGAGGTCCTTCACAGCTGGAGGAGTCCGTGCAGAATCACCCGAGACCTTTAGCAAGAATTAAAACTGGAGTAATTTTCAGAGTGGTTTAGACACCAGTTTACTTTCACTTCAAACTCTTTTAAACTCTGGCTACTTTATAGCCTTATAGTTACTTCTTTTTTCTCAGAAAAATGTGCCAATACTTAGAAACATGTGACAAGGGGCAGCAACATTTGCCAGTGTGTAAGTTAGTCTATTCACCTGCACTTGGAATAATCATAAGTGGTCCATCATAGTGAAAGACACAAAACTGGAACTCGCCAGGGTCACAGAACTGGGAGGAAAAGTGAAGCAGGCACTGTGGCTCCTGCTATCTCCTGGCTGTGCAGTCGCAAAAAGCTCAGCGCCCTGGGTGATAGGGCTGCTGATAGGGATGTAGTGGACTGAAGTCAACTTTCCGTTGGGTGTTTCTGTGTGACTCACAGAAACGATCAGGAGCGACTGACCGCGGCTGTGTCATGGCTCCCGGCCTGCCCGGTTTGTGATGTTCACCTTGTGTTTCCTTGGCTCTTCTCTTGTGCAGAACACATACACCAACGCGGACAAATTACTGGAAGCCGCAGAGCAGCTGGCGCAGACGGGGGAATGTGACCCCGAAGAGATTTATCAGGCTGCCCATCAGCTCGAAGACCGGATACAGGATTTCGTGCGGCGTGTCGAGCAGCGGAAGATCCTGCTGGACATGTCAGTGTCCTTTCACACGCACGTGAAGGAGGTAAGACACTGGGAGATGGAGATGCAGCCTGTGACTGCAGGGGTCTTTGAAGGCGAGTGTGATGTGAGCAAGTGGACCAGAGGTGGGCGGTGATCACGGTCAGCCTGCCCCCCCCGCTGGGCAGTCGGCGTGGACAGGGACGGAGCTGGCCTCCCTGCAGGCCTGCCTTGCAGCACGGGCGCCTGCATGCCTTGTATCTGTCAGGGCTGGGCCCGTGAGGGCTGGGGTTGGGGAGAGGTGTGGATTAGGAGGTGAGCCGAAGGAGATCCCTTTAACTTGGAGAGGCGGTGAGCACCCGTTTTAGCATAAATAGACGGCGTGCACATTGTGGTCAGAGCTGTTGGGTTTCCCTTCTGTGTGTGAGCCAGTCATGTGGTTCTAGTTACAGTTGCCTTCTGATTTTATCACTGTGTGGCTACTCTCAGATACTAATAAAAGTGAATTTTACAGAATACTGAATGTACCAAAGACATCAGCGTTAATTAAGGCCGAATTGGCTTTGGTGATGTCTGCTCGGTGTTAGCTCAGCAGTTCTCTTTAAGAATCACACCTGGAAGAAGGTGGGTGCTTGTAAGTCTTGTCGCAGACCAAGCACTTTGATTCAGTGTGTCAAGATCTCTGGATTCTTTACTCTCTCACCCCAGAGGACAGAGCACAGAACAATTCTTTCCGAGAAGAGAGAGAAGAGCAAATTTTTTCACAAAGCTGGCAGATATTTTATACCTTGAGGTTGCATGCAGAAGGCGGTTGATGGAGGCGTCAGCCTCAGTTTCACCCTTAAACTTGGATTGGAAGTTTTCCAGGACCCCTTTCTCTCTTTTTTTTCTCTGAAAGGAATTCATGAGATTCTTAACCTCCTCTTAGAAGATGAAGAGCGGTGCTCTGCCTTTTCAAAACATGTTTTTAAAATAGTATTTGAGCCCAGCCAGGCATGGCTCAGCGGTTGAGCGTTGACCTAGGATCCAGGCGATCAGGGTTCGATTCCCGGTCAGGGCACATGCCCAGGTTGCGGGCTGCAGCCGATCAGTGGTTCTCTCATCATTGACGTTTCTATCTCTCTCTCTCCCTCTCTCTTCCTCACTCTGAAATCAATAAAAAAGAGAAAAAAAAATAGTATTTGACAGCACTCTTGATCAGTCTCGTATAAATTTAGAGTTTATTTCAGGGGAACTCTCAATATCCTGCATTTGTTATCCACCCCTCATCTCTCTGTGCCCTTTGGTATTGCTGGTGGCATTTTATTCACATCAGCTCTGATTCTCTTTACCCTTTGTTACCTGTCCTTGTTCCTTCGACTGCATTTCCTGCTGCTCACTCATTCACTCACTTGCTCATTCCAAAGTGTCTCCTGAGCCCACTCTAATCCAGGAGGCGATACACAGGTGAATGACGTGGAACACATACTTCTGCTTTTGTGTATGTCGTGTTTTAGACATTGGTTTGTTTCTCTCGGTAGGTGGAACTTAAAGTCCTTGAAGACCAGAACTGTCTCACTTACTTTTGTACCCACTGCTTAGCCTCCCCACCAAGCTCAGCAGATCCTCAGTCATTTGTGGAATAACGATGTTTATTTCTAGCATATGTCCTGAGATTTAATGATAGAGGGACATATTTCCATTTTCAAATATAGCAAAAGCATAATTATTTCCATCCACTTGTACTTATTCAACTTCCTTCTCAAAATTGGGTCCTGAGTTAATGAGTAATTACCTTTGAAATTTGTGGGTTATTTGAGGCCACCAGGTGGTCACATTGAGTTGTCTGCCAGGGTTTATTTCTGGAGTTGATTCAGTGGCCCTGAATTGGTTTTTGTTCACTTGATTCCCAGAACCCATGATTTCCCAGGAAAGATTGTTCTCGTTTGGATCGGGCTACAGTTCTTGCTGGGCTTAAGTAAAGGAGCCTTTTGGTTCTGCTTCTGCAAACTTACACACTGAACTGGGGCAAGTTTTTGTTTGGGGTGATGCTTGGGAAAAGAACCTTTCATTTTACTCAGAAGTCAAAAATAAAGGCCTCCTGGCCACCTGGGGATTTTTTTGTCTTGCATACCAGTCTGGCTCCATTTTTATGCCTGACACTTAAGCATGCAGTCTTCTTTATGTACAGCCAGTGCTCACTCTCCCTGGGAAGCAGGGAGAAGCCTGGCTGGACCTTGCCCTATGATCAGAGGAGGGTTACTAGGAAGTGGGAGCTCTCATCCCTTCTTGGGGTGCAGAGCACTGGGAGCTGCCTCTCCTCCAGTCCTCGCTTAGTGTGCTCTGGCTTTTTCCCTTTTCTCCTCTTACACATATTATTCTCATTGGTATTATTTCATGACACTGACTTCGATTTGCCCAGCCCATGCATCCTTCATAAATTCCCTTTCATCATATTAAGAGATCTTTTATCACCATCCGAAAATGACAAGATCTGTGATGCACCAAGAATGACCAAGTACTGCTGAAACCCTCCTTTCAGGGCAGCAGGCATGTGCTCCAGAGTATGGTTGGTCGTTTCAGGCTGAAGAATGCGCTGTGCTGCTCATGGCTGGAGCAGTTCCCCTTTGATTTCTGCTTCTCATACCTGAAACTGGATCCCATTTTAGGTTCATGGCGGGTGCCTCCTGAAATTCCACCTGCAAGTTGCCATTGAAACTTCCTACTTCTGCTCCTGGATTGCATCTCCTGCTGGGAGCTGCAACTTCTGTACTTCGCACGCTGCCTTACTGCTCACCCATCCCCACTGGTACCCGAATGGTCATCTTAGTCATAAACAAGATGGGGAAACAGATGCCCACAGCAGTAGCTTGTTTATAAAGTGCTTGCAGTAATTGACTCTCAAACTGGCTTTGCCAGTTAGGGAAGACATATATGCTAACATGATCCCATTTCATAGATGAGAAAGCTGAAGGTAGAGAGCTCCAAGGATTTCCCAGGGTCACACAGGGGATCAGGACCCACATCTGATGTGTTGTGAGCACACTTGTGTCCTGCATACGGATAATGCATCTGAGAGGTTGCCCCTAGAGCAATCCCCAAATCTTGGGGCTCCAGTTCTACCACCCACTGAATCAGCTGGAAGCTCAGTCCTTCCTGGGACCCCCGCCCCAGTGAGTCCTCTAGGAGCCCTCGCTGGTGGGGTCTCCCCTCCCCAGTTAGTGAGGAAGGGGCTTTTTCAGGGCTTTTCTCTCAGCAGAGTGAGGTTCCTCCCTAAGGTTCCACCCAGCACAGAGTTTGTGGGGAGGGTGCAGCTGGGTCAGACTCAGCTGGACACTGGATCCAGGACCAGGCTATCCTGCATCTTTGTCATAGGAATTTTCTTCTCAAACCCCCTCATGTCTTCCTAGCCCAGCCTTCCCTGTGGATCTAGGCCCTTGACCCAAGTCTGTACACACCTGTGCCCACTTGTGGGCTGGCTTCAAGTTCTCTTCTGGAGAATGCTGGCCACAGCTCAGAGGGCCTCTAGGGGGCAGCATTGCCCAACTCTGGCTGCCTGAGGCGCCCCAGGCTGTGGGCCAGCTTTATGCCTGGAATCCAGGCCGCTGAGAACTTTGATAGAGTGCAACTCCTCTCTTGCTGTCGAGCAAAGATTTATCTTTTATTGTAAATTAACAGCATGCAGGCGTTTTTTTTCAGGTTCAGGAAGTTTATGGTAAAAATTTCACAGGCCCTCCCTAGAGACTTTTTCTCGTTGCTTTGTGCAGAGGCTATTTTAGGAGCTATATGTACCATTTTCAAAGCTTAAACAGACTTTACCGGAATCCTATTGCATTACGAGTGCATCAGTTCAACTCCAATTCACATCAGAAAAGACCTTTTCTCTGAGACTTTTCTCCAAATTGAATGAGAATATTTCTGTTGGACCAAACAGAAAAATTGTAAAGAGGCAGAGGACCTTTGGGCACTTTAACATCATGGGTTTAGATGTAACCTGGCTCCTGCTACCTGGGTTTTCTCCCTCTGCAGCCTGATCCTGGCACCAGTCCCTACGGTCTCCCGCACAGCTGTCCCCTTCACTGGTCCCACTGCCCACCAGGCGGACCAGCACGTTCCACCGTGAACATGTGTTGAAATTTCCAGGATGTTGAGGGAATAAGCTAGTTCTTAAAAAAAAAAAAATTACCAGGAGGAAAGGAAGAGGTTTCACTCATGGCACTTCCCCTGGAAACAAGGGAAGTGATTTCTATAGAATCCGACAGACTAATTCCTGCACCTTTCCTCACACTGACCTATTTTTAGGTGTAAGAAGATTAAAATGTGAGATGGTGTTAAATTGACCAGACTGAGTGATGAATTTTGAACAATTGGTAGGAACCTGGATATGTTTTTTAAAATATCTAGAGAAAGAAGACTTTGAAAACTTGGTGATTTTTCTTATTAGAAGAATTTTCCTTACAAGAACAAAATTAGTGGTAGTGGCTAACATTTGCTTTCTTCTGCACTCTGGGAGCGTCACCTCATGTCATCTTCCCAGCAGCCTGTGAGGTAGGCTTTATTACCATGCCTGTTTTATAGAATAAACTGACACCTGGATCCAAGTAAGGAACTTGCCCGAGGTCACACTGTGGAAAATGTTAAGTCAGGATAAGTCAGGATTTGAGCTTCAGTCTGACTTGAGAGCCATGCTCTTAATGGTTATTCCATATTCCCGCTAATGAGAAGGGTTTTACTTGAGTTATCTGTGGATAAAACATGAACTCTTACGCCACATCAGTGGCGTCCTGTGGAAGCACAGGGGTGCCTTGTGCCTCAAGAGTGGGTTTTGAAATGCTCCTCTCATCACAGTGTGTAGAAGCAAGTCATGTTCAAATGGTTCTATAATTTAAATAGTATTTAATGGTAGTTTTTTAAAATGGTAGTGTTTGCTGGAGAAGAGGAATTTTGCAGACACATCCACACAGACAGGCAGGCACCCCACCTCATATCCTGTCCCACACGCTGGGTCACACTGGGCCAGGCAGGAGAGGCCTGACCCGGTTGTTTAAATAGGAGTGGGAGGGTAGTTGGGACACCTGTATGTGAGGTGTGTCTTATCCAGAACCTGCAAATTCTCTACCAGCTGTCTTAATTAACGTTGTTTTGCTGATATTGCAGTGTTTTTCTAGTGGGCATTTAAAAACTTGCATTTCTGTTTTCTCAACAAATTTAATTTCTACTAATGCTATGAGATGCTGGCTCTTAAAAGCGTGGTGTAACTAAAACTAGAGGCTACTTTGGCTCCAGCCCTCAGTCTTTGAGGACCAGCGTGTGGTCTGATGTATCAGTCAGACCCCTCCCTCTGATGCAGTCAGTATTTGTAGTAGAGCTGGCTCCTTTATCTTTCTTCTCATTGATACTAATGTTAGATTACATGCGAGAAAGTCTTTCTTCAGTGTGCATTTGCTTAAATCATTCATCTCCACTGAATGAGCACAAACGCTGAGGGAGCACTTTTTCTAAGGACTCAGCAGTTTACTACGCAGTACCCTGCATTCATTCCGTAAGTGTCTCCATTGTCTACCTGTCAGTTAGCTACTGGGGCTGAGTCAGAGGCAGGTGTGCTGGGGATCCTCCTGTCCCTGGGTTCCTTACACAGTGACCAGGTGGGGCAGCTTCAGTGCAGCGTGCGTATTAAGGTGGAAGATATTTTTACAGTTGAGATTGAGAAGGGAGTGGAGTGGTTTTTTATTTTCTTTTTCAGCAGAGAAACAGCTGCAAAGGTCCACTTTTCCACAAATGTCCGTCTTACAATAGGAATCAGGGTGGGAAGGCTGCAGTGGCCAAGGGCTGCTGGGAAGGTTTTCTCTGTTGGGAGCAAGTGGCCTATCACCTGTCCTGGCATGTGGAGGGCAGGTTTCTAGGAAGTTGATGAAACCATTTCAGCTAAAAGAGAGTCTACCTGTTAGAGCACATATTGTGGATGTTTTGGGTTAAATATTTTGACTGGATAAAATATTATAGCCCTATTTTGGTAAACTATTCGCTGTTGCTCAGAACAGCCTCTCTGGCACACACTTGGTTTCTTTGAGCAAACCTTGCCTCTTCGGTTAATTTGAATGTGTCAGTATGCTTAGGGTAGTTAAATTTGTACAGAGCATTGCTGATTCCCCCAGTGCTCCTGCGCCCCGTCTCTGGCCATCTTAATAACTTCTTAAGGGTAGTATTAACTCTCTGAGGGTCCCTGATGTAGCAAAGTGAGTCTCAGAGAAATGCAGTGATCTCTTAGGACCAGTGCCAGTGCCTTGTTAAAGCATCTCTTAGATTCAAAATCCTGCTCCTACTGCACAATATGGCCTGTGGAACTGGAAATGTTCATGGGGAATATTAGAGCAAATCAGAGCTTCCTCTTGGTTATAATGCTGTTATCCTGCCTGCTGTTTATAGTTGTAGCCACCAGGTTCATGAGAATTTAGAGGAAAGCGAAAAAAACCCTACAAAGATAAGTTATTGATTATTTACTGTTATAGATGGTACAGAACATGAGTCCATGTTTGGTGAATTGATGACATTTTTTTGTCAGAAAACTGTATCAACACAAAGTGGGACCAGATCAGGAGCCTCCTATCTGATACTGACTTTGCTAGTATGTGGGCACTGCCAGTAAGGGTTGCCCGTGTTATACAGGCTACTTCATCACCTGGGGCCTCTTTTCCTGTCCGTAAGCTCCAAGAGGTGAGCCAGCCTATCTCTAAAATTCCTTTAATTAAAATTCTTGGATTGTATGAAATTTGATGACTTGTACACAAACATGGTTAAAAAATATGAGACAAGCTAACAGATGTTTTATTTATAAAATTTAGGACCCCAAGTAACTTAATTAAAAAATAAGTCCCTTGCCCGCACTTCCCTTATTTTTAAATTGACCCACGGACCTGACCAGAGCCACCTGTTTCCAGCTGAAGATACATTTAACAACAAAGGAACTCCTACAAGGTTCTTGTGGGTGTACCATCACTAGTCATTGGGGAATTGCTCACTAAAATCATGATGACACCCCAGTCATTTAAAATGGCTAAAATAGAAAGACCAAGCACATCAGTATTGGTGAGAATGTGAAGGGCCTGGAACACTCACACACTGCTGACGGGAGTGGAAGCATTTTCTCCACACACCAACCACTTCCAAGCCCCCCAGGGCCTGCTCAGTTTAATTAATTGTCTTTTTCGGTTTACTGGACGGCTCCCCAGAGACCTGGAGACCCCATCAACTTCTCAGCAGCAGGTGGAGTGCTCTGCTCCCACCAGACCTGAATCCAGCTGTCTTTACCCATCCAGGTCCCCGGACATATTTTAATGGTAGTGGCAGTGAGGTGTGTAGTGGTTTCGATGTGCCCTCTCTCTTCATGGACAGGCTGAGCTGTGACCGGCGGCCTTGCCTGGCTGGGCGTGGTTACCTAGTAGTGCCACATCCGGGTCTCCTGCCAGGCCTGGGGATGCATTTATTTCACCACCTTATATGCTTCCTTTTCTGAGGCATAGGAAGCTCCCATGTCTGCAGCGGTTTAATAATTAATAATGGACTGTAACGCCCTTGCTAGAAAAAAGCCATCCAGACGATGCTTGAAAGAATGGCTGTTATGTGTAGCAGATGTTGGAGGGGTCTTTTCTGATTTCCTTTGCACCCAGATTGAGCCTAGGAAGAATTGGAAAGAGCAACTTCCTGTCCCTTTCATTTTTTCCTTTCTGTGACAGTCGCCCTCGCTCTCTGCCCGGTCATTTCTCAGCACTCAGCGGTGGGATACTGTGTTTCCTGTGCCTTTTCTTCGGGCTGTCCAACTGTGTGGGGGACTTTTCGCTTTCTCCCGTCTCCCCGGGGGCAGGCTGCCCGCTTCCCTCCAGGCCGTCACCCCGTCTCCCGCCTGGACTGCCCCGGCCTCACTGCTCTCTCCCCCCCCAGCTGTGGACATGGCTGGAGGAGCTGCAGAAGGAGCTGCTGGACGACGTGTACGCCGAGTCGGTGGAGGCGGTGCAGGACCTCATCAAGCGCTTCGGCCAGCAGCAGCAGACGACCCTGCAGGTGACCGTCAACGTGATCAAGGAAGGGGAGGACCTCATCCAGCAGCTGAGGTGGGCCCGCCCTGCCCCCCGTCTGAGCACAGGCTCTTTGAAATCCTGCCAGCGATTTCCCCTTCCCCTCACTTTTTGGAACAATTGCCTATAATTCTCTGTCCAACTAGGTAGAGAACAAATAACATCTATGAATGTGACGGAGACTAGCAGCTCCTTCTTTCTCTTCTGTTTTCTCCCTTACCGTTTTTTCTGTATAATTTTTCCCATTACAGCACTATAAGCCTTCCCAGAATTAAGCTTTTATTAATATTTCTGCTTAACACCTACCTAGTAATTATTAGAAATTTTATTTAAACCTCCTAGGAGTGTGTCCTTCAGGCCCTGAGCAACCTGTTTCTCTCGAGTGTGGTGGGGTGTCCCCCTTCTGAAAGCTGAAGCCCGGCCAGGCCTTGGGGTGACACCTGTCCCTCAGGTGCTCCTTGTGGCAGGAGGACAGGGACAATGCTGGGGCTGGAAGCAAGCTCCTTTCATTGGATCACAGGGACCGTTTACGTAAATATAGTCTCACGACTGCTCGCAGAGGCCAGTTTATTGATTCGTTGGTGGTAACGTCACATGATGTTCACTTTGCAGAGTCAGGCAGTTTACCTGATAGAGGCTCAATTGATGCATTAAAGTTTAACCCCTCATAGCTAATATAACCACCGTTTATAGGAAACAGGTATCTATTTTCTCTACTTAGGGAGAAAACTGGCTAGAAATGAAACTCTGCTAAAATGACCTTCCGTAATTACTAGATTTCTAATAAGAGCGACTGTGAGAAAACGTGGAGAAATCCTTCAGTGCATCCTCAGGTCTGTTAGCATTGCTCAGCGGAGGAAGCCGCTGTTGTTTTGCGGGAGGGGCTCCTAGTCCATTTTCTGAGACAAGCAGTCCCGCTTCCTGCCAGCTTTCTTCCCCCCGAGGTCCTGAGCTGCCGGATCTGGTATCTGACAATGTGAGACCTGCTCCTCCAATTCCTGTTTGTCTCTTTGAAATCCCGTTTCCCTCCTCTGCTCCTTCCCAGGGACTCTGCCATCTCCAGCAACAAGACCCCCCACAACAGCTCCATCAGCCACATCGAGACGGTGCTGCAGCAGCTGGACGAGGCCCAGGCCCAGATGGAGGAGCTGTTCCAGGAGCGCAAGATCAAGCTCGAGCTCTTCCTGCAGCTGCGCATATTCGAGAGGGACGCCATCGACGTGAGTGTCCCCAGGTCCCCTCTCTGTCCCCTGTCCGCTCCCTTCCTGTGTCCTCGCCCTCAGCCTCTGCGTGAGGAGGAGAGAGGAAGGGAAAACCTCCCCTGGGTCACCACACAGCACGTCCCTGTCCCTGAAGCAGGGCCACAGCTCAAGGCAGCCATCCTCTCTCCTTCCCTCCCACTCTGTTCCCCTCCCCCTTCTTCTGGGGGTGAGGGGTGGAGATAAGCTTGGCCTGTGGTGATGGCATCTTAGGGAGTAGGAAACCCAGTTTTTTCCCCCACAGAAGTGTTCTCAGATTGTCTGAAATCCTTGCTTAAAACGGAACCTTTACACCTTACAAGTGTGACTAGGAGAAGGAAGTTCAGGTTTCTTTTCTTTTTCTTCACCAAAATGTGGGTGGTGGTTAATTCTGTGCCAGGGAAGAGCTTCTGTTTGATCTTGATGAAGTGCAAGCAGAAGGAAGTGTAATTGGATGACACCGAGCATGTCTGTGAAACTGAACCAAAACTCACTCCAGTCTGGGGGAGTGGGAGCCAGTTTCCTGGGGCCGGTTAGCTTCCTAGAGCAGTGGCAGTGACAGGTGCCCAGGAGGTCCCTGGGACTGCCCACTTCATGTATAGAGGATACCCTCCCCATATTGAGGGCACGTGGGCCAGACCCTAAGTGTCAGCAAAGGCAGGGTGATGGCAGGGCTCAGGGTAGACTGTGTGAGTTACTGTTTGTGGTGGGGCCTAATCAGCTGAGGGGAGACTCTTTCCTTGAGGGGGCCTCGTGTGTTCCCTTAGGCCTGTCTGTGGGCCCAGCTCAGAGTGGCATGTGTGGTACAGGCGCCACACCAGGCCCTGGGCAGGCCTCTTATGGTCCCTGTGGTGGCTGCTTGTCTAAACTTCAGTCAGTGTTTTCATGAAAGAAAAACCTTCTTGGCTGTCTTCATTATTATCATCAGTTAATGAACCCTACACATGTCCCTGGTTTAAAAAAAACCCAGAAACTTGCCCTTAGAGTCTTGACCCTTAAATCCACTCCTACCTCGTGGAAAAAGGCAGAGCCCCGTGGAGAAAGGTGCTCCCTTGACTGATTAGGCCCCGCCCACCTGGGCCCAGCCTGCAGCCTGTTTTCCTCTGACCTCTGCTTTAGAGGAATTGCTTTTTAAAATGTAGCTGCTTATTAAATAGTTTCAGTTAAAGGAACACAAAGTAATCAGAAGCATTATTTGAAGTTTTTCCTCCCAGAACATTTGGATATTTGGGGGGAAAATTTGGCTTCACTTGTAGTAATGGTACTTTAAAGAGGGAAAATAATTCACTGTATTTCTACCTTCATTGAACCTGTGTTTTAAAATGGAGATCAGTAACCCAAAGCGCACGTTTTCCCCACACGAAAGCGCAGCATTCCATGTAGGCTCAGTAAAGCCAGGCTGCCAGGCTGGGCAGGCATTTTCCTGAGCCGAGGAAACTGAACCTGCAGTTCAGCCACGGGGTGGCTAAAATACAGTTTAAAAGTTTTTAACACGTTATATCCTTAGAACCTTTTTTTTCTCAAATGATCCTGAAACATGAAAATCTGAGCAGCCTAGGTTTTGGCTGGGATTTTCTCTCTTATCTGGGAAAATGCCTCATCTGACTACCCATAGGAAGAATGGAGTTATACTGTTGGTAGAAATTCATCTGTTACTTGGTTAATTTTTCAAAATCCCCCATATCTGTACTTCAGTTGGAGTAGCATTTCCATCTCTCAGAAGTGGGTGGAGATTTTCTGTGGCTTAGAAAACATTACTATTTCAGCTTCCAGATGTGCCAGATGTGCTCTATTAAATGAAAAACAAAATAATTACTATAGCATCCTGCGACACGTTAGGTGCAGGAAGCAGTCATGACTACATGTGTGTTTAGGAAGAAAAACTGAGACTTTCTAAAAATCCTTCAATATATTTTTAAAAATTGCTTCAAAGCAATTTCACCAAAGAATTAATATTCCAAACTGATTTCCACTTTCTCAAGCTTTGTTTCTGGCAGAGATTTCTTTTCTGGCCTTGTGCAGTTAACCAGCTGTAATGCTAAACTTTGGGTGGGATTTTTCCTGATGATCCTCTGATCATGGCTGTTGCCAGGGTTTCTTTATGCCCAGGGAGTGTTTTCAGATCCTGCAGGTCTTAGCACATGATCTTTGTTTGTTGCCTTTCGAGTGTCATCTGAGCCTGATGCTTTCTCCTCCATGAAACATTATTACTGAGTCTGTGTCTCACCACCACCACCCAGTGTCCTCTCCGTCAGCTCCAGAAAACAAACATTTAGGGAGAAAATTCCCTTAGAGATAAAGATTAAAGTTATGGTCAATTTTTTCCTTTTTAACAATATTTTTCCTCAGTGGCTTTTTGGTTTATGTCTAATTTGGCATTATTTAAATTTATTAATTTATAATTAATTACAATTTAACAAACTAATGTAATACACATATACAGACTCCTGTCAAAAAGAATAAATCAGGAAAACATTTTATGACTTCCCATCTCCTAGCCGGAGTCTGTACACTCTCTCATGTTCACAGATTTTCACACTGATTTGCTTACTGCTCGTGTAGATAAAGTGAATTAGGATCCATGGGAAATGTTTTTCCATTGAAGTGTATTGTATACTATTCTTCCACAAGAAGTTTTTTCCTCCTTTTTGGATTTTATCGTTTACTCTTAATTTTTAAATAATATATTATGAAAGTTTTAAACCTACGCAAAAGTAGTGAGGATAGCGCAGTGAACTGCCTGTCCCCCAAATTCCAAGCAGTTTTGCCCCCCTTGCTTCAGGTGTCCCTTCTTTTGTTTTTGTGGTGCCATAGCATTTTAGAGAAAACTCTTGGCCAGAGTATCATTTCACTCCTAAAGACTTTCCTGAAAAATAAGGCCCTTTTCTTACATAACCACGATTCACCACCGCCTCGGATCTCGCAGTCATCCCTGATCGCCTTACTGTACGCGGCCTCTGCGCAGATTCCGCGGGCACCACGGTTAGGGGCTGTGTGGGGTCTGCTCCTGCATTTGCTGCTCCGTCTGTTCATCTACATTTATCTGTCCATCTGCCCTTTTTCCCCCCTCCCTGCCTGACTTAGCGAAATAACTCCATCAGTTGTCGGGCCCCACACTCCGCATTTGCTCACTTGATTTCTTCCAGCTTGTTGAACTGTTTTTCTTGCCCTGGTATTTCCTGTAAACGTGGCAGTTAGATGGAAAGACCTCATGAGAATTCAGGTTCTGTTTGTGTGCAAGAATGCTGCACAGGCGGTGCATCATCATTGCTCCTGTCAGAGGGCATGTCCCGCCCGGTCCTGCCCCGTCAGGGAAGCTGAGGTTGGTTTGTGGGTTAAGGAGGTGGCAGCCTGATTCTTCCATTGTTCGGCTCCCCATCCGCCTTTCTCAGGATGGTTTGCTATGCACTGATCATTACCCAGTTTCCTAGAATTAAAAAAAATTAAAATGAAATGTTCTAACTTTATTATGCTTTCTACATTTAATTGTTAGATTTATCCATAAAGGGGCACTTTCCTTCACCATTATAAGCTTAAATAATTTTCTTCTAGAGTTAACAATTTTTAGGATAAAGATTAGTTCCCTGTCAACCTCTAATCGGAACCAAAGAGTTTTTCACCTGATTGCTGGCTTTTAGGTCTTCTTCTTAAACATCATTAGGAATTCATGGGTTTTTGTATATCTTATTCAATTGTGGTAATTTTGTGTCTGTGTGTTGCTAATTCTCTAACTGTCCTGTCGTTGGACAGTGGGGGCCCTTCAGTTGGCTTCTGTGTCCTTTCGACATGATGACATGAGTCTCCTTCTCCCCTACTCGGCACGGAAGCCATTGCGACAGATATTTATTTTTTGAGTCTTGATCCTAAGCGGAGGCTTTCCTCTGTCAGATCATCTCAGACCTTGAGTCCTGGAACGATGAGCTCTCTCAGCAAATGAATGACTTTGACACGGAAGATCTCACGATAGCCGAACAGCGCCTCCAGCACCACGCAGACAAGGCGCTGACCATGAACAACCTGACCTTTGATGTCATCCACCAAGGGCAAGACCTTTTGCAGTATGTCAACGAGGTGCAGGCCTCTGGTAAGAGCACGCTCCATTCACGTCAGCTGGGGGCTCTTCAGATCCCCTTGGAATTCACCCCACTTAGTTCAGTTGGCCCCTATGGTACAGATGTTGTAGATAACTTCTCTTTAAAAGAAAACATTTTGCCTCCCCCCCATAATACAGTCACATTTAACATTAGTCAGTGCACTTACCCTTAATATTCTTAGGTGTTATTTTAAGTAGCATGAACTTTAATTTTGTAAATGATTTATTGTAGCTCCCTGAATGAAATGTATCCCAAGAAAATATTTTCATTCTTCATATTTTTCTTAATTTATATTTTACCAGCAGATGGCAGTATAGGCTCAAAAACGTAGAGAAGGCTGTCGTGTTAGAAACTTAGCAACCACTTACATTTTACATTACTCATCTTACACAAATCATATTCTTAAATGCTTCCTAAAAGTAGACTAGGTATACAGCAGATAACAACAAAAACAAGCCTCATTTATAAAGGACGTTACATTTTCACGGTTATTGTAGGAGAAGTGGACTAATAGGAAATGGGCTTAGTGTGGTTGGCTAAATATTATAACATTTGGCTTTAACATGTCAGGTACATTCTCTGAGACACATTCGCTTGCTGCAAGGCAGGTGTGAACACGCCACTGCCAGCTGGGCCTCCTTAAACTTGGCCTTCAGAGTAATGGCCTGGCCCTCAGCTAGGCAGATGATTCACACAGAGACTGGCCTGCTCCCCTTCAAAACAAACTGAAATGCTAGTTGGATTCTAGCATCTCCCTCTGTTGTCCACAGGCGTGGAGCTGCTTTGCGATAGAGACGTAGACATGGCCACGCGGGTCCAGGACTTGTTGGAGTTTCTTCACGAGAAGCAGCAGGAACTGGACCTGGCGGCAGAGCAGCATCGGAAGCACCTGGAGCAGTGCGTGCAGCTTCGCCACCTGCAGGCAGAAGTGAAACAGGTAAACCCGAGCTGGGTGGAGAGCCAGCTGAGTGCATTTGATGAAGGAGCCGGTCATTCGGACCTGGAAGCCTTGGGAAAGGGTTTCCCTGCTCAGAACACGGCTGTCCTGATACATAACATAACACTCCCTCACTGAATGGGTAGAAACTGAGCCTCTGCCTGGACAGCTGTGGGAAAGGCTTTGCTGCCCAGTAGGTACCACACTTGAGAGGAACGTCCATTTAGCTTGTTTTGTTGCTGTTCTCTTGCTCAGAGCCCTATACATTTTGCTTCCTGCTCTAAATGACTATGCTTTTTCTGTCCAGTATACGGTTATGAGTCTGGACTGGATCATAGGCTGTGTATGATTAGAGCTTTCCTGTATTTTCTGTATCACCCCATCCTAGGTAGCACAGCAAAATAAAGGGGAGCATTTGGAAGAGCTTGCTCTTGGCTCAGCGCCGGTGGGATTCCAGGCCTACATATAGTCAGCATGCACGAGATGCTTTATCTCATAAGCAGGGAAACCACCAGTGATGCTGGCTTGATGCAGGGACAGTGTCGCTTTATGGTGGATGCACAGAAAAGCTCATGTTAGCTTATCAAAGGGGACTTAAGGTGCCTCTAGTGCAGGGGTGGGGAACCTTTTTTCTGCCAATGGCCATTTGGATATTTATAACAGCATTCATGAGCCATACAAAATTATCAACTTAAAAACTAGACTGCTATATTTTGTCAGACATTTTATTAACTCACCCGTAATGTGATGGCGGGAACTGCTTCTCTTTGGTGAGGCCTTGACAGGGTCAGACCAAATGATTTTGGGGGCTGTAGATGGCCCAAGGGCCATACATCCCCCCCACTCTAGGCCATGAGCAAGGTGTGGTATGTAGGCGGGCAGCACTCACATTAAAGCAGATGTATTATTAAACAGAAGTCTTTAAAAGAGTACCTGAGATGAAGTGTGTGTCCTGCCCTTTAAAGACCAGTTAATAAAGTGTTCCTTCTTTCCAAAAATAAAACAGTTTGTCTAGGAAATAAAGGAATAGACTGATGTACTCACTAGGAATTGCATTTGCCTAATATGTAACAGAGTCCAAAAATAGTGGCTTAAAAAATTATTTTCCCCACATAACAAGTCAGAAGGTGGTAAGACTGCTTGTGTTCATCCAGTCGCCCTTTGCTTTATTAGGCTGGGATCTTGATGATAGGTCACCTTTTGCTCATGCTCCCCAGGTGGCTGCTGTAGCCCCGACCACCTCCATGGGGGGCATCAGGAAGGGGGAGCATAACAAGAAGGAGGCAACACATGTAGCAGAAAAGTGTTTTCACAAAATCCCCCAGAGGCGGCTGCATTGACCTCAGTGGCTAGACTTAAGTCATATCTATGACCAAGCTGTAATAGGGGCTGAGAAGTGGTTTTAAGCTATCTTCAGAAGTTGGGGTTTTCTGAGTAAAGGAGACAAGGAAAATAGGTATTAGGGAGCTAATGATTGGTCTCTGCCACAAATAACTACCTGAAATGACCTTCTGTAGTCTGGCTTCTGCAGTCAGAATTTACTTCTCTTTGTGTACGAAGTTGAGACTCTCATGGGATTTTTTTGTTTGTTTATTTTAAATATATATTGATTTAAGAGAGAGGAAGGGTGAGGGAGAGAGAGGTAGAAACATCAATGATGAGAGTCATTGATCGGCTGCCTCGGCTGCACGCCCCCGACTAGGGATTGAGCCCGCAACCCGGGCATGTGCCCTGACCGGGAATTGAACCCCGATCTCCTGGATCCTAGGCCGATGCTCAACCGCTGAGCCACGCCCGGCCAGGCAGAGACTCTCATGTTTTGACCCTGAATATTATAGCATAGCTTCATTCATACTTCAGTTTCTGATATGAAATAGTTCCCTTATCAAGCAGTTTGCCGATTTTGCATTTTCATTAGGACTGAAAGGAATGAAAAGTACATTTTTTATTCTCAGAGAATTCTTTGTGGTCCTTAGCCTGTTTTGACCTGTGGATTAAATAACCATCCTCCGGACCCTCTACCTTTTCAGCTACCATTTGCAACTAAAAGTAACAGAATTCAGTTAAAAGTGCAGCACTTGTGATCACACACTCCTGACGGTTATTAGGCTGTGGGCAGAAGCATCATAAGGAAACGAGCACCTTGTAGCTGATGTGAGCAGCTCAGCCACCTTGCTGGCTCGGATCACGTCACTGCTGGTCCACGAGCTGCCCCAGGAAGGGCCGCTGCTGGAGTACCCTGTGTAACATTTCAGGTGTTGGGCTGGATCCGCAACGGCGAGTCGATGTTGAACGCAGGACTGATCACAGCCAGCTCGCTGCAGGAGGCGGAGCAGCTGCAGAGGGAGCACGAGCAGTTCCAGCATGCCATCGAGGTAGGAGTGCTCGGCCCGCCCCCGAAAGGGGTCTTCCCAATCTGAAGGCAGGCCTGCTAGACCCCCTCACGTGGCACTGACCCTGGCAGCTGAAATGGGGTTCCACAGGACCCAAACGGCAATGCTTACAAGTCTACAGTTCATCACAGGAGAAGGCAACAGCCTGGTGACTACAGTGAGGCTATGCCTGCTGGCTAGGACAACCTCGCAGCAGGGGTCTGGAGGCCAGGGGGGCTCCGGGGTCCTGCTGAGAGGGTCTAGTAGGATGCATCTTCTCAGGGCAGGAATACCTGGCACCAGGGAGCCCAAGTTAGCATCTCAGCTAAGGCTTTTTATATTTTGCTGGCCTCATTGGCGCATTTCTGCTATGTCAGCAGCCTCAGCAAAACAGAGCTCTCTGGGAGGTTCACCAAGACCAGGTACAGGTCATGCTCCCCTGTTGTCAGTAAACAGTGCTGCCCACAGACTCCTCCCACCCTGGGTGAAGGCATTGCTCATGGAGCGTTTCCTGCCTTGAGTGGTCAGTGCCACATGGGACTTTACCTCAGTGGCCTGTATCGGGTACAGTGTTTTATGGAAGCATTGTCTCCTTTTTGGTGAAATACAAAATTTTGGTGGTGTTGAAAGAAAAAAGATGAATCGGAGTCCATAAAGACCCATGTGCTCCCCTGCGCAGCAGTCATTTCTTCACTGAGAGAACCTTCTAGTGAGGACACGAGAGCAGGAGGTCTTGCTGAACTGCTGTGTTATTCTGACAGATTCATTATGGCAGGACCTCCAGAGAAAACAGTTGGTTCAGCCTTAGCTTTTCATTTTTTTTCCTTTTAAAAAAATCAATAGTTCTTGAAAACTTTTTACTCTAGTCCAAAGTTAAAGTTGAAAATAAATAAGAAGCATTCTCTTTGGCCACCTTTCTTTCCATTTGGTCCCTTGCCTGTAGCTGCTCTTATGAGAAGGATCAATGGGAACAATTAACTTGGACCATTTCAGCAGCTCTTCTAGAATACTGGCAGTTAAGGTTTCTCCTGCTCTTTCTCAGGCCGAGGACCCTGCCACGGAGCCCTGGAAGTCTTACTTCCATCCTTCATTAGGTCGTTTAAAGAGAAACACAGCCGTTGCTAGGCATGAAAACTTTTTAACTAAACTATCTGCCATGTTTTGAGAAGAGTCCTAATGAGTATTAACTGAGGTTGTTTCTATACAAGCAAGCAGAAACCCAAGAACTGTGGCCCTCCCAGTTCCTCTCCAGTCAATGTGTGGCCCCTGTTAAATGAGCCTTCCCTTCTCTCTCCTTAGAAAACACACCAGAGTGCGCTGCAGGTGCAGCAGAAGGCGGAGGCCATGCTGCAGGCCAACCACTACGACATGGATATGATCAGGGACTGCGCCGAGAAGGTGGCCTCGCACTGGCAGCAGCTCATGCTCAAGATGGAAGACCGCCTCAAGCTCGTGAACGCGTCCGTCGCCTTCTACAAAACCTCGGAGCAGGTGGGGGGAGGTGTCGGTCCTAGAGCTCCCAGCGGACATGTTATTTTGAGCTTGATTTTATTGGGCAACTTAATCACTAACTCGTCAATCATTGTTGAACCGGTCAAGTCCAAGTCTAGCAGAGTAAAGCATTTTTAGAAGTACAATGATTTTTGCTTAGCTTGGGTATCAGAGAGCAGCGGGCCAGGAAGTAACCCAGAAAGCACCACTTTTCCTCTCATTTAATTGTATGGCCTGAGTCTTGTCCGAGAGACAGGAGACTCCGGGGGGGTTGTCCTTATCTGAAAGGCCTGATTTGTCCTCAGGTAAGGTAGAGCCCACTTTCTTCCAGTGGTCTGGGTCCTGGGCTGCACTTTCATGCCCAGAGCCTGGCTGAAAATGCCCCCCGAAGATGCAGATCTGTGCCCTCAGGTGCCAGCGGTCCCTCTGAGCCTGGACCTCTCTCCTGCCCGCAGGTGTGCAGTGTCCTTGAGAGTTTGGAGCAGGAGTACAAGAGGGAAGAGGACTGGTGCGGAGGAGCCGACAAACTGGGCCCCAATTCCGAGACTGATCACGTCACCCCAATGATCAGCAAGCACCTCGAACAAAAGGAAGCATTCCTGAAGGTATGAGCCTGCTTCCTGGGAGTCAGATGCCTCCCTGAGCAGTGTACACAGGTCCAGGAGTGTTCTCCAGCAGGTGGTCTTGAGGTTGGCCTACCAGGCAGAGAACTGCAGATACCCCTACAGGCCAGGCGTGCACTGTGGTCATCACTCTCAACCTCACAGCTCTCCGCTCATGGGGAAAGTGATGGGGTAACATCACATCAGCAATAAGTTCATTGTTCAGAGAAAATCTTAAAAACGTCTTTGTTATTTACACTGTCTTTCTAGTTTTTACAGAGAAAGCTGGAAATCTGTGTGAATAAAAAATGAGTGAAAGTCATAATTCCAAGTGTCTCTGAACAGAGAGAGATTGATTGATTTGGTGAAACAAAAATGCCTACAGCTTAAAATAATCTTCCTTTGGAAATTTGGCCTCTTCAGGAACAAAGACTGTGTCTCAGAAGATACATGAGCCCAGTTAGACACAAAGCAGGAGCGCACCTCCTGTGGTTTATAGGATCAGTTTCTAATACTCACTCAGGAAATGTTTCCTGCAAGAGAAATTTCATTCCATTCAGGCCAGGCTATGAGTTTTCACTCTGAGAAGCTTTCAACGAGGAATTTCCCAAACCTGCTTTGTGTGTGGGCGCATGTTTATTTTTATTTTCTTGTATGTTTGTACCTAAGTTACTGATGTGCTTTGAAACAAACTTTAAACAGTGACCGAAGTGTTTAGCAACACGGACACTGAATGTCTCCACGCTGAATTCTTTCACTCCCAGAACAGATTTTCTGAGGTTCTTGTTGTCACCCAGGCCTGTTGAAAACAGGCGTGGTGCTTGCTTTTCCTCGTTGCTTTACTAAGTTTAGCTCTCCTTGCTTTAGCCTCTGACCCTGCCAGCACTGTTATGTTCACTCATTTCTGTTTTGCTTCTGAAGGCGATGGCCTGTCCTGATGGGGGCGTTACTGTTCAGTCAGGGAGAAAAAGGGTAACTGTGAAAATCCTTACCTGCTGTACTTAACTTTGATCTTCCACCAGTGGGAAACTGTTGTAGCTTCCCCTTGAGCCAATGATTGTAACTATTTCAGACAGGACCTGAGAGCCCTGCCGTGCTTGTGGCTGTATTTAAGTTCATGAAATGCTGACACTGTTAGGTGTTTTGAGTTGGAAGCATAAGTTACCTCTTTCTCTGACTCCATTTAGTATAAAGCAAAATTGAATGCTATTTGGTTAATATAATTAAGAAAGATATTTATGTAAAATTGTAAAACAAAAATAATCCCAGGCCTGTTCAGATTCCTTTGTTCACTAGAATTCTGTAGTGTTTTTGTATTGGATGTCTCTTAACATTTTAGTGTGGAAGTTTAAAGATGTATACAGAGAGAATGGAGAGTGAACCCTATGCCTCTCACCCAGCTCCAGTGATTCCTAACATACGGACATGTTCCCACCTTCACTGGATTGTTTTAAATTCTAGATATTGCATCATTTTATTTGCAGACACTTTGCTAACATCCGGCTGGTGTGGCTCAGCGATTGAGTGTTGACCTATGATCCAGGAGATCAGAGTTCAATCCCAGTCAGGGCACATGCCCGTGTTTTGGGCTCTATCCCCGGTGGGGGTTGTGCTGGAGGCAGCCGATCAGTGACTCTCTCACCACTGATGTTTCTATCTCTCTCTCTCTTCCTCTTTCTGAAATCAGTAAAGACATTAAAAAAAAATACTTTGCTGAGTATCTAAACATTAAATTATACTTCTCTAAAACAGCCACAATACCATGATCAAATCTTAAAAATTATTAGTTAACTTATTTCATGTAAAATCAAAGTGTTCAAATTTCTGATTGTCTCACAAATATCTTTTTATACACGGTTTTAATCGAGATCCAAACAAGGTCCAAAAATTGATTTGATTGGTATGTCTCTTAAGTCTCTCTCCACCTAAATACCACCCTCACTTTCATTACCATTTATTAATTGAAGAAATAAGTTATTCATACTGTGGTGTTTCTCGCTTTCTGAGTTTTGGTCATTGTGTCCTGTGGAGTTATTTAGCACCATCCTGCATTCTCTAAATCTCTGATAGTTGGGTTGAGAGCCTTGATCAGCTTTCGATGTGTGTGTGCACTAAGCGTAACTGATGGATGGTGCTTGCACTTCCTATGAACTACATCAGGAGCCATGTAAGGTCCACTTCTCTTTTTGTCTCTGCAATATGCGGATTTATCAGTGCTCCAAACATGGCGAGTCCAGTTCGTCTGCTCTGCACTCCCCACCAGCCTTTCAGCTAATGGGTTTAGCAGCCAGTGGTAACATGGTTCATCAGGAGCTGCAAAACGGTGATGTTCTGTCATTCCTTCCTCCTTGATTAGCTAGAATTATTACCCCCTCAGCCGTTTGGTTAATCTAAAATAGAGTGTGTGCAGAAAAGCCACAGTAAATGTTTGACTCTTTCCCTTTGCTTACCATTTTCAGAATAATGAGCTATTACTTACTGCTTTAACAACTTCCACATACAATTAATTGGGGGTATTTTTTACTATCCTCATGGATTTTAATGTATCTGGTATGCTTCAATTCCTTGCTGTCATTTATCTTTTTATATTCAAATTGTTCCCTTAGTGGAGCCCCTTCACGTCAGCTTGGTGCAGATGTCCTTTTCAATGACCCCAGCAGTTTCCCCAGCTTCCTTGATATTTGCTGTGACAGCTTATTTTAGACTTTTCAGTAGAGACTCATGGTGTATTTTTCTCTTTATTAAAAAAAAAAAGTATTCTAGCTCCATTACAGGAAAGGCCTAGAAACCATGCCCAACCCAATGATACTGTGCACCCCTCGTGCCCAGTGTGGTCTCAGTACCATTTACCACAAGGAGGCAGAGCTGTTTGAAGAAAAGATTAACTCCAGGAATTGGACAGGAAATGTGCAAGATATTTCCAACTCAAATACAATTGTGTTTTTTTCCTTCGATTTTATATTTATATCCTATTTGTCTTAACTCTTTTTAATACATTAATGAAATTACTTACTTGGTTTTGTGGAGGCTACAAAATATTAATACATTTCCTCCCATCTTCTAAATTCTTCTGGCTGGGCTAATAACCAAATTATCAGAGACAGATTAACCAGAGAAAATAAAAATTTAATACATGCATGGGGAGTCATGTAGATAGTAAATCTGTGACAGCTCCACAGGTAGTGAGGCGACATTGGATATAGAAGACATTTTTGGACAGCGGAGAAGGGAGAATGGGTGATTTACAGGTGGGTGGGGAAGAGCAGACCACATCCGTCAGGAAAATCTTTGCTGGTGACTCAGAAACAGTGGGACACGGGGTTTCCAGCTAACGTCAGGCACCTACCTGAAGCCCTCGTTTGCCATACTTAATTCAAATTAGACTAAGTGAGGGAAGATCCTAAAATTTCCTTCCTGAAGCAGCTTTCTCTGTCTGAATCTTAGGCAGGAAAGCAGGAAGGATCAAAGCTTCTTTCTGTGTCCTCTGTTTCTTAATAGCTTAAAATTAGTATCCTCAAAAAGCAGCTTCCCTGTGGCAGAATTTTGGTCCCTTCAGTTTATAAACATGTAATAATATCAGTTATCTATTACCCAAATAACACACCTAACAAACCACCCCAAAACTCTGGGGCTTAAACCAAGGATTGGCACACTAAGACCTGAGAGCTCAATCCGTCCCCCTCGCTCGTCTCTGCGTCAGCACAGCTGCTTCATCCTCGGGGGTCAGGGTGAGTAGATGCAACTGAGACACCCCCACACGGAAAGCTTCAAATGTTTACTGTCAGCCATCTGCAGAAATCTAGGCACAGCTCAGCTGCATGCTCTGGCTCAGCATTTCTCATGTGGCTGTGATTAAGGTTGTTGGCCCTGGATGTGGTCACCTCAGGCTGGCCTGGGGAAGGGCTTCACTTTCTCTCTGGCTTCAGGCCAGCAGCCGCCTCAGCCCCCTGCCCCACTGGCCCCTCCATCGTGCAGCTCACAACAGAGCAGCGGGCTTCATCAGAGCAAGGGCTCCAAGCCAGAATGTTTTTAATTGAAATACAACTTAACTGGTGTATTCTCCAAACCACAAGTTGGCCAGGTGAACATTTTCGCTAAAGGCATATGTTAGAGCCACCCGATGTCGTCCATACGGACTCAAAATATGTATTCGTGTAAGTCAAGTTAACGACACATTGCCCTCTGTTGTTCCTAGGCCTGCACACTTGCTAGAAGGAATGCAGACGTCTTCCTGAAGTACCTACACAGGAACAGTGTGAACATGCCGGGAATGGTCACGCACATCAAAGCCCCTGAGCAGCAAGTGAAGAGTGAGTGTGGAGGGGAGGAGCTGGACGGGAAGTGCTCGGAAATCTCGATCCAGGCCTTCATGTCAGATGTCCGTGTCATATTATTAAAGTTCTTACTAAGTATCTTCACTTAATAACAAAACATTTAAATATATAGATTGGAAATTTATTGAATACAGTTGAATGTAAACAGGGAGGAAACACATAATCCAGGGCGATGTGTTGGCATTGACTGTTTTGTTAAAGTAAAAATACTATAAATTGGAGGGAAAATGAAAACCAGAGTTATCTATAGGCAAAATATTTTTAAAAGTTTAAATCATGAAATAGTATACTAATATCACTTCTGTAAATTGTTATTAATTTGATATATATAAGCATTGTTAGTAGAAACAAATTCCCAAATAATAATATATAGTTTGATATCATTTGAGTATAAAATCTATAAAGCCATGTTTTTTTAATATAATGTATATGTGAATACATAGAAAAAGGTCTGGGGAAATTTGTGCTAAATGATAAATAGGATTCGTCGGGCTGAAAGTGAAAAGGAGTCATAGTTTTTACTCTGTAGATTCTGATTATTTTACAAAGAAAATGCAGTCAGGTGTTATGTAGTTTTAAACTTAAATGTAATCATAGTTTTTGCAAATTCATTTGAAATGACATGGAAATGCATCCTGAGAAAATGATGAGAGTTGTTTAAAACAGCCTTGATATTGAGGCACCATTCTGTCCGCTTTAATCCCATCAGGAGCCAGGAGTCGGTACCAAACACAGGAGGAAACTGAGGTCACACAGCCTGGCTCCTTCAGCTGAGTTTTATAGGGAAACAATTGCACTAACCAGTTGACTAATGACTCATCTCACGCTGTTTTAAAACAGCAGGATTGGCAAAAACTTTCTCTTCCATTCTGCTCCCTGTTGACCTGATTCATCTGTCAGTTGTCAGAATAATTCTCTCGCGCTGGTACAGTCCTCTGAGCCCTACAGACGAGACTTATTAATCAGTGGCCTTTTCTCTCGGGAAAGTGAGCGTCTAGCAGGAGCAGCCATTTTCAGCAGAAAACAGTCTTCATTGCCAGCAAGTTATGTGCCTTGGCAGTCCACTTACTTGACTCGTCTCACAGAAGAATCATCCCCTTTCTCCCATTTCTCAGTAATGCTGCGGGTTTTGGCTGCACTCTCTGCTCTGATGGAAGATGTTGGGATGCTTTCTAGGTGGTTCGGGTTGATAGGTGCCTGCGTGTGTGAGGGATGTTCCGTGGACTCACTCACTCCTGAGCTTCATGTGTATATGCTCTGCTATTTTTCTAATGGATTGTTCATTTTCTGTTGACTATTAAGTAAATTAGGTCGGTGTCTTATATTTCTCAGTACTTTTTCCTGGCTTTTTATTGGTGTAGTATTTTTATGGTGGTTATTGTTTGGTCATAACAGTCTTATGTGATCGGGGTTTTTTGGACTTTCCAGCTCTGTGCCTGTCTCCTTCATGTCTTTCCTTCTCTTAAGGGCTTATGTTTCTGTTTTTATCTTTTTAAAAAAAACCAAACTTTTGTTTTCTTCTAATCCTTCACTGTTTTGACATACATCCTTTAATGCATACTTTTAATATGTACTAAATTCCTTCTATAGGAAAGTTTTAATGGTCTTGAACAAAATATCTAATACTGATATTGTTAAATTGCCCCAGCAGGGGAGGCAATGGCATGGCCCACTGACCCAGCTAGCCTGAGGTGTTCGAGGCCAGCCTTCACCTTACAGTGATCTCGATCATCAGATAATAAATTGGGGGCAGAGACTGAGGAGCGGTGTGGTTGACATGCTCTTCAAGAACATCGGGCAGGCAGGCAGCATCTTCTGTGTCGCAGCAGCATTTACATGCAAAGTCCTTACATAAAAGTGAGTGGGGTTTTGCAGGCATTTTCATTGATTGCCTTCCTCTTTCTTCCCTCAGATATCTTGAATGAACTCTTCCAGCGGGAGAACAGGGTATTGCATTACTGGACCATGAGAAAGAGGCGGCTGGACCAGTGCCAGCAGTACGTGGTCTTTGAACGAAGTGCCAAGCAGGTCAGTGGTCACCCTGGGCCGCCCAGTGCCCTCCACCCTGTGTTCTGACCTCCCGTTCAGAAGTTTCAGAGCCACTTTCTAATGATCAAAATAGTCATGCCTTGTTGTTAACAGTTTGTGATAAAAAGAAAACCCCACAATCTCATAAAAACCTGTCACTTGATGATTTAGGCCCTAAACAAGTGTGCCGCTCAGCTTGTCTCTACTGTCATTAGCTCATATTTAATACAGCAAAATACAAGTTATATATGATGACAATTTAAAAATCGCCATGGAATATAGGTTCTGTACTTGTGTAAATACTATGGTGGGTAGGTTTTTATATCATTACATTTATGTGTTGAAGATAATATTTTGCTCTTCAGATAAATCGAGCAAAAATTAAGTAAATATTGTGACAATTTCTAACAGTTCAGTATAGTGAGAAACATTCATGCATTTGGCTACTGCAGAGACGTCTAGAGGACGGGTTTGAAGTATCTGCCTTTCTGAAGTCATTTTGGGATAAAGTACTTTCTCCTGTACAGTCAATCATGGAAGGTCATCTTAGGGAAAGCCTGTCACACCCCTGACGAGCACTAAGATCCCTTTCCCTTCTCTTTGGCCTTCATAAGAATCCATTGAGCTGTCTCACGTTCTCCATGTCAAGAAGCTGAGAGTCACAGTGGTAACCACATCAGACCTGGACCGCCTTCTGAATCCACCTGTCAGCCTACTATGTGCCTGTCACATAGCAGGCATTTAGTGAACTCTTCTGGCCAAAGAAAGATGGCATCTTTCCCTTAGAGGGCTTCCACTGAGGGAGCACATTCGGTTGGTCTCACAGTGGGTAGCCTGGTCCCCACAGGCTGATAAACTGGAGTTCACAGTCCCCCAGCCTGGCATCCTGACTTGGCTTTTTCTTGCCTTGGCTGACTTTACTAGGTGTAGTTATCATTTTCCCAACAGAGGTGGAAAACAGTAGTATATTAATATTTAAATTACATTTTCTTATCATTTTATTTAAAAACAGTTCAACCGTGTTTTAAATTTATGGCAGCCTGATTTTATTTCTAATTAAGAGACTTTTCATAATTCTCACATATCTTTATTCTCTGTTGAAAGACAAGGAATCATTCAGAACAAAATTGTAAATAATTCCCTTGACAGAGAAAATGCATTGTTGCTGTTTCCTAAAGTCAGATATCGTGATCTCAGTTCCATAGTAAGTGTCAGTTATTCATGATGGACTGTTCTTGAGGCCCCTGCTGCATCGCAGTTCTCGGGATGGCGGCCGGAGGTTCATCGGACGCACCTCACTGGAGGTGGAGAGGAGACTCGGGCCCTGGTTCTGTCCTGGGCGGCCCTGCTGTCTGCTGCTCCTCCAGGCCCTGCTGCCCCCGCTCCCTTCTCCGCCTCTGAATGTTGACTTTCTCCAGGGCTCAGCTGATCTTGTTTCTCTTTCCTCTCTTCTTATCTCCTCTGTTGCTATCTCCCGGCCCGACCTCCATCTTTGGTGTCTGGACTGATACTCCAGCCACCTTGGCAGGGCTCCACTCTGCCCTCACGGAAGGCAGAACTGGACTGAAGGGCCCGTCCCCCGTGTTCCCCTCATCTTACAGGGCGTGTGGTTCCTGAGTCCTGTCTTCCCCTCCTTGTCCCACCTTTACCCCTTCCTCAGTCCTGTAGGTGCAAACCTGTGAGTGTGAGGTCTGCCTTCCCCTTCACCCCGGAGCCATCATGCCAGGTGAACCCGGCATGTGCTGTTTGAACCTCTGAACCAGCTTGCTAAGCCGTGTTGCTCCTTCTACTCCAGTCCCTTTCCACATAGCAGTCCCCTGCCCTCAGTAGCCTCACCGCCAGCTCTCCCTGTGGTGGCCCCGGCTCCCTCACCGCCAGCCTCTCCCTGTGGTAGACCTGCCCCTCTCAGCTGGGGCCCATGGCATCTACTCCTTTCAGCCCCCCCGCAGCTTCTCCCCATCCCCCCCATCCCGTCCCTCCC